ATTCCGTTTTGCAAGCTGAGCACACAAAAATGGTCGACGTCAAACTCTTTGTGTGGTCAAGTGAATTTGGGCCCAAGAATGCGCCGCTCCACTTGGACTATTTTCCTGTTTCCTCTGTCTGAAAAGCAAAGTGGGCTCAAATGATGGCAAGCACAACACGGCCAGACCAACAGCACACCAATGTATTCATTTGAAGTAGGCCCTTTTTTTTTTTTTAAGTTGAGTACAGCCTGCGAATACATTTTTACATTTTAATGAGACCAAGGAGCCTCTGTGGTTGTGCAAATTGGACCTGGAATTATGTCTCAATAGTGCCTGTTCTCCCAGGAATTTAGTAGGCTTCCATAGTTAGTATGTCTTGCTCTGTAATTAGTAGAAAATCGACCTGTTTATTATTGAATGCGATGAAAATAATATGTCCCAAGCAAATTTGAAAAGATGTCAAAATTGAACCTTTTCACTCCAGCGTGGCCGCCACGTTTGCGGAGCGTGTTACGGCGCTGCTACGGCGGCACTACTTTACTTTTCGATTGATAAAATCTATTCCGGTGACATACGTTAGTCATCAAAGCCAAGACCTTTTTGCATATTTTCATATTACAAATGCGATCAAATTCTGAATCTGCCAATAATTTCTCTTTGATTTGTGCTGCATCTATCACTTCATTCCTCAAGCATTGGGGAGCAAGGGAAAGTTTGTACATCATAAATGACAGGTCATTGGGGACTCTGTACAACGTCGATGAGAGGTTGACGAGGAGGCTATTCATCTTGTTTGAGAGCTTGTTCATACGTCACAGCTGAGAATTCGACGGGCTATTTATAGGTCATGGCTGAGGGATCGAAGAGAAGTTCATACACTGTGAAAAAAATTGTTCAGTGAACTCATAGTTCCAAGACAACAAACTTGGATATTATTTGAAGTAGGGCGATTTGCTGTTGTGAAAATTGTCCTGCATTCCACATCAAGTAATATGAGTTTGTCTGTCCCTTTTTATTGAATTCCAACTTAAAGATATACGGAAGTAGAAACAACTTGTTTGTGCGAGCTAACATTGTTGCCATCAATGTTTTTCAACTTCAATTACTGTTTGAGGCCAAAAAAATACAGGTTGCGTTTTTTACATAGATGACAAGTCAAGGAGGAGTTTAATTGCCATTAATGAAAAGTCGAGGATGTCATGGCTGAGGGCTGGATGAGGAGTTCATACGTCATTGATGAGAAGCCCAGAAGGAGTTCATACGGCATAAGTGAGGGAGTGATGAGGAGTTCCAATGTGATACATGAGAAGACGATGAGGACTTCATACTTCATGGCTAAAGGGGTCGAAGAGGAGTTCATACGTCATGGCTGAGGGGTCGGGAAGGAGTTCATATGTCATAAATGAGATGAGTTTGGAAATGAATTGAGTTGGGGTAAATACCATCCCGATGAATGGGAAGGAGTTGGCGGGAGGGATAGATGGGCAGAAAGAAAGGGTAGGAAAGGAGCGATGGGCAGACCAAGGTATGGGTGGAGAGATGGAAGGAAGGGTGAATGGATGGAGAGAAGCATGGGGGCAGGGAGGGAAATTTGGATGGAAAATGGGAAGGATGGACAGATGGTTGTGCAGTCCGATGGGTGGGTGAAGGTCCAGAAAGGATGAATAAAATGACAGAGAGAGAGAGAGAGAGAGAGAGAGAGAGAGAGAGAGAGAGAGAGAGAGAGAGAGAGAGATAGCGAGAGAGAGAGAGCGAGGAATAGATTGAGGCACTGGTGTACAAGGGGTAATAATTGGACAGAAGCACATACGGAAGGACAGATAGATGGACTTAATGGAAAAATGTAGATTGCGTCCTTCATTTTCTTGCCCTCCGTGCGAGCCTCATCGCTGCGCCTTGGAATGCTGGGAAAGTCGTCAATGGCAGGGCAGCGCCAGCGACCTTCAGGTTGCCTCGTGCTCAGTCTCGAGCGGCCTCCCCCCGCTGCAGCCACGCCGCTCTTCCATCATGCAGCTATGCGAGGGAGGACACGCGCTGTGGGTGGGATGCAAGGACATGACTATGCGTAATGCAGTGTATGTGCTGCACTGTGACACATGAATGTTGTGTGGGAGCCATTTGGGGGACTACTGAACATGGCTAAGGGGAGGTTTTTTTCCTTGGGTAGGAAAACTGCATGTTGATGTCAAGGATGAGTTCGTACAAGATGGCTGACAGGTCCAGGTGGCGTTCAGGTGTTGTGGCGGAAGGGTCCAGGAGGAGTTCATACATCATGGCTGAGTCGTCGAGCAGGAGTCCATATTCCAGGTATGAGGGGTTGAAGTGGAGTTCATACATGGATGAGAACCTCAAGAGGGGTTCAAACATCATGAATGAGAGGTTGGCAAGGAGTTTATCCATTAGGGTTAAGACGTCAGGGTGGAGTTTATAAGTCATGGCTGAGTGATCATGAAGGACTTCATACGTCATGGCTGAGGGTTTGAGGCTGATTTCATATGGGCATGGTTGAGGGGTCTAGGAGAACCTCATACACCATGGCTTAAAGTCCAAGGATGAGAGGTCATGGAGGAGTTCATACGCCATGAATGAGAACTCAAAGAGGAGTTCATACGTTAACAGGTGAGAGTTCGAGGAGGACTTCCTGTGTCATGTCTGAGGGAATGGCGAGGAGTTCATGGACAAGAGGTCAAAGTTCAGAAGTTTCTGACAAGAGATCAAGGAGGCGTTCATACCTCACTGGCTCATGTTAAGGACGAGAGGTGGTGATTGAATTCATATCACCATGGAAGAGAAATCAAAGAATTAATGTATTCTTCATTGATGAGAAGTCAAAGTGGAATTCATAGTTCATAACTGAGTATTCGAGGAAGACTTCAAATGTCGTGGCTGAGGGGATGGCAGGTTAATTGGGCACAGTTGAGGCATCTAGGAGGAGTTCATACACCATGAATGAATGGTCAAGGAGTTCATGTAATGGACGTGAGGTAATGGGTGAGTCCACACGTCAAGGGTGAGAAGTTAAAGGGGTGTTGATATGTCATGGTTGAGTATTTGAGGAAGACTTCATACGTAACGGATGAGGAATGGGAGGAGTTCATACGTCATGGGTGAAAAGCCAAAGGATTTATGTTACGGATGAGAGGGTGTGGTGGAGTTTTTTGGTCATTACCGAGTGGTCAACGAGGAGCTGATAGGTCCTGATTGAGTAGAAGTACATACGTCTTAGTTGACAGGTGAAGAAGTTCATGTCATGTATGACAGGTTGAGGCGTTCATACGTCATGGATGACAAGTCAAAGAGAAGTTCATTCATCATAGCTGAGCGACCGAGGACAAGTTCATACAGTATGTCATGGCTGAGGGGGTGGTAGGGAGTTCACACGTCTTGTGCAAGAGGTCGAGAAGGAGTTCATACATCAAGCTGGAGAGGTCTAAAATGATGTGATCTTGTTCACACGCTAACCACAGACACAAGATGTCTTGTTTTAAGTATAAGTATAGCGAAGGCACATAAGGCCGACGCGCACCCACGCACGCACACGCAGGGACGGCAGCATCAATGATGGATGGCGTCTCATCCAGCTTCAGAGGCAACTCAGCGGGGCTGGCAGACTCAGCAGAGACCCCGTGCAGGCATCGGGTTGAGTCAGAGGGACAACTAAATAGAGGCCGGATGGAAAAAAGGGCCGTCATCAAGGGAGCGGCTGAGCAGCGAGCAACTCGGACATGACACGCAGCCCAAGCAGATGAGGCGATCGTGAGGAAGCGCCATATTCACCGCAGGTGTCAGCGCCGCCATTTGAACGTGTCGAAAAGTGATGCGTGCAAATGCTCCGCAGGGCAAGTCTCCCCGGGATGTCACTTGGCTTCACGATGGCCTTTTGTTTTATTCACATGATCATTCACCTGCCTGCTGGCACCACGTTTTTGTTTGGGTTTTTTTTTTCAGAAAATGCATATTCATCAACAGAGCAGACATTCTTGTTTGCCGTGACTTATCTTGCTCCCTCCCATCTTCTCCTCTTTTTCCTTGCGTAACTGCTCATTCCTCCCCTCTCTGCTCGCAGAAAATGAGTTGGTTGGGGAGTGAATTTGAGACAAGTAACTTAAAAGAAGTAGCTTGTTTACTGAACTCTGCAAGCAGCACATTATATTGTTCGGTCTCCCAAAGACTTCAGTAACACCACCAAAAAGAAAATCATTATACCAGGCCAAAACAAAGTCATTTTAACCAGAGTGTGACAAGAGGATGTTAAGTGTCATGTCATTTTTCTATTTTTATTTTATTGAAAAAATGCCGGAGACCTTTTACGGAGGACCAAAAATGCACACGTCACTGTTATACCGACATGCTTGTTGCATGTCAATCCCGACCGTCAAATTAGAACCACCTGCCCTTCAGCAAGCTCTCTCGTTTTACCAACCTCCTTGTAGCACGCCATTTAGTGAACACGCCCTGTTTGGACTCACGTCAGGATCCGCTCCGGGGATCTTATATGAAACCTGGAATCTCACCCTTCCCATAGCCTCCGACAACCCCTCGTGGCCCCGTCTTCTCCTTTCTACAGCGGGGGGACTCCATATCTTTTAATTACATACAGGAAACTCCTGTTACAAAGGACACTTTTTTGGTGGATCTGCAGGGGGAGGCTGTGAGAACTTCTCGTCTCCCAGTGGCCTCTCCGGTGTGTGGGTGGTACTGGCTGAACTGTTTGTACCACCCAAAGATTTCAGTCAGCAATTTTTTTTTTTCGCCCAAAAGCAAGATGGCTGACTGCAGTATCAATGTGTGCCTTTTTTCATGTCTTAATATCATTTTATACAGCTGGATCAAGATTTCCACATCAGCACGTTTTTTTTTTAATCCCCCCTTTTCCAGCTCTAGGATTTTTTTTTTTTTTTTTTTTTTGCTCCGGTGGTCTCTAACTGACAGGAACTCAAGCACTATTTGTTATCTTTAGGCCCAATAAGTCCATCTGGTTTTGGTTTGGCTCTTGGAGATCGCCCCTGGGGATGTGGATGGAGGGCAAGGCGGGGCAGGTCGAGGCGAGGCGGTGGAGGAGCATTCAGGTCTCTCACTCGCTTTTTTTCCTCTCTCTCTCTCCTCCTAAATTGAATTTCTCACCGTTGCGACCCAGGTCTCGCAGCGCGAACTTGCAGCTGGCTTCCAACCCTCGGGCTTCTGAAAAGAATATTTGGAAGAAATCAGTCTCATCTGTTTTGTCAGGAAACGTTCTTTATATTCTTAGAAAAGAAAAAAAAAACATGCAGCAAATATATCATGAATTCTTTACACCGTATCCAATGAATCCCTGCTATAGTGTGGTTTGCGGCTTTTTAGATCTGAGATTTTCAAGACTAGTCTACTGGAAGAGATGCAGTGTTAATTCAAGCAAGCACAAGAGTTATAGGCCCAATAGTCATTGTTTCACAAGAGGAAATACAATACATGTCGATGATTTTAGTTTGTGTTGCCACTCCATTTGTGGTAACGTAGCAGTTGTTTGAAGGGTTTGAATTACTGTAACAGCGATGCTAATTTCCATCAGCTTGTCTACAACGCGAAAAATACAATAAGGCTTGAAGCAAACACACTGTGCCTCTTATATGAAGAACTGTGGGCGAGTTTTCCCAGTTTTTTTGTTGTAGACAGGCTCCCATTTTTTAAAATTATTTTTTACATTGAGAGTGAGAACAGGGTTTCAAAATAAATTTAAATGGGTTAAAAGCATGCGTGGAAATAGCGTGAAACTATTGCAAAAAAGATTTCGTTTTTTTGAGGTCGCTTTAACATGGATTTTCATCTGTCAAGACCCAGCAAATTGTATACAACCAAAAAAAATTTTTCATTGCTCTTCATTTCTTTTTCTCTCTGCAGACGTTGGATCCACGAAGATGTGTAAATATCAGCGGGAAGTGTCAGCCAATGCAAGATGAAGAAATGCGCAGCAGCCAACATATTGATATGTGCCACCGCACAGCCCGCAGGTTGCTATCGCTGCAGTGAGATCAGTCGGAGACGGTATTTGATGTCATACTTTGTCTTCTGAATATTGAAATTCAATATGCGCTTTATAATGTATGCTACAATAAGGATGGCAAAATCTCTCCATCAATCCATAAATACATACGTACATACTGTACTTCTTGGTACTGATTAATGTAAAGGGCTACCAGTGTGATACATACTTTTGAAAAAATGGCTTCAAATAACTCTACTTACGTGTTGTTAATAATTATAATCATTTATATGAAGACATTGATCGCATTAATGATCTCTCAAAATAAGTGATACAACAAGGTATCCAATGAAAAAAAATTATATACTCATTCCCACAAATATATAGATTGACAAAAAGGTTGTGTTGAATTTACTCATTTTTATTTCATCAAGTGGTGACACAAAATAAAAGCATATGGATCCGGACACCTTTTTTTTTTTTTTTTTAAGTGGACCATACATTTGCTTAAAAAAATGTATCTGGATCCAGAGGCTTTTATTTCGTGCAACCACTAATTCAACACGCCATTTTTTTCCAGTGTATTTGATTTGTGTCACATCTTCTTTCACCCCTATAAAAAGTGTTTGATCGCCATCCAATGTACATAACAAGAGGATTCAAACATTTAAGCCGCACTACTTTAATACTACTCCACATTACGTTCAGTGTGTGTCTCCGGAACATTTCTTTTTTTTTTTGTTGCTGTTGCATGAATTCCTCCTTCTCCCTGGGGTGTATTTAATTCTTTGACAACATCCAAACTCCTGCCTGTAATCTGAGCCGCGATCTGTTCAAACATGACGCACATAAACACTTCCTTATAGGCCCGAGATGAAAGCCTGTGACTAACTCCTTGAAACTAATAAGGAGCATCTGAGGGAGCCTGTTGTGTGTGTGTGTGTGTGTGTGTGTGTGTGTGTGTGTGTGTGTGTGTGTGTGTGTGTGTGTGTGTGTGTGTGTGTGTGTGTGCGCGTGATACAATTTATTCACCTGAGCAAATAAACGGTGAGTGTGTGGGGTGCTCATGGTTGAGAAAAAAGGAGGCTTTGACTGAGATACAGTACCCTGCCGGGGAAGAAAAAAAAAGCTGGAAAGGAGATCTTTTTTTTGTGCAGAGGTCACAGGAAGGGCAGAAAATGCGAGACTTTTGAGAGGTGAATGTGACGATTTCAAGCTACGTTACCACAAAGTATACATTCTGCTTGAGGCAGCCGTGTCCTGTAAAAAAAGGACACTGAGGTCTTATTTTACATTGGCCACTGCATTAGTCAGGGATTGCTGCACACTCAATGGTGGAGAACCATGAGAAATGTCTATTTATTTGGACAGAAATAGCAAAAAAGCATGAGAATGTCGCAGACAAGGCCATCGGATAGCAATCAAAAAATGGACGTGGAGACAAAAATGCTCTTTTAGTCTTACGCGACAAGATTGACTGGCCATAACATTAAAATCGAATGAGACCAGCGATGTATCAGATATTTGTTTTTATTCTGAAACTGTCCCATATCTACCTTATCTGATATTTCACATTATTTTTTTATGTTCTACGTTTGTTTTCTTTTCAATGGGTCAATTTGATACATAACAGGTTATATATCTGGCTTTGATGGGACTAGCGTGTTTGCCAAATCAAAAATATAAGATTGACAAACTTTTAAATATATTTTTTAATGTAATTTTTTTTTTTTTTAAGTGGATGTTTTCACAATGCACGTGCATGGGGCAGCAGTCAGGTGCTGCAAATTAAAATAAATTAAAATAAGGTTATAACAGAATGAAAATAAAAAATGGTTGATCCTAAAGCATTTTTACTTAAAAAAAATTAGATGAGTCAATTTTAGCCACAACATGACTGCAGCGTTAGTGTACCATGAAAGGGAATTAAGTGGAGAGGGGGGTTGCAACAATATGACAAAATTAAATTGTTTTCTTTTTTTAAAGGCAAAAACAAGACCTGTAGATGTTTGTACTAAAAAAGGAGGGCCAATTTTACTCAAACCAAAGGAGGGTTAATATAGCAGGTGTGTGGGAAGGCTGTTGAAAAAAAAATGACTTAAGGCCAGTAGAAAATATTTTCTACATTTAAGCAGGTAAATATCCCCACACAACAGAACGAGAGGGTTAAGATTCACGAAGAGCTTTTACAATGTTTTCATTTGTTTGCAACCGGTAATAAAGCAGTGGAATTAATCGAAAACAAGTGGAATTTTTCATGGGGTAAAAAGCACCGGCTCTCAAATGGCTGTGCGCTTGAGCCAACACTGGAGTCAAGCTGAAAATAAACAAACCACTCAGGTTTGAGACTCAATATCAGTTTAATGCGTGTACACTCAACAAAAGAAAACATGCTGAATCGTGTGAGTAACCTATTGAACTTCAACAATCCAAACATACATGATGGCATTTAAACGAGAAAGCCTGCAAATGTGCGTACTAACCCGAGTGTCATCCACTCATTATGCAACGGTGGGGAGATGGTGTTCCTTTCAGTTATATGGTGAGCCTTCACAGAAGGCGAATCTGTCACGTGGCAGCGGGGCAAACAAGCATCGAATGAGGTGGAACTATTGTGACTTGACAGCTCTTGTAGACAGTAGTATTTAGAAAAGGAAAAAAAAAGATACAAAAAAAAATATTACTTTTGTGCACTGACACAGAATGAAAGCATTCAGCTGATAAGACATTTTGTTGATGCATCGCAAAGTACAAGCAGCGGTGAAACCTACAGGAGCTTCTGTAATCAAGTATAATCATTTAATAAGATAAAAAAGCCTTTATTAGTCTCGCAATGGAGAAATTCCCAATTCACAGCAGAAAAGTTATGAAAGGAAGTAGAACAAAATATAGGATCTGCTGGAAATAATAAATACCGTTATAAAGTGTGACACCAACAACATACAGTACACTTCATGGATGTTATATTTTTCTTAATTCCATCCATCCATTTTTCTGATCCGCTTATCCTCACAAGGGTCGCAGGGCATGCTGGAGCCTATCCGAGCTGTCTTTGGGCAGTCGGCGGGGGACACCCTAAATTGGTTGCCAGCCAATCGCAGGGCGCATGTAGACAAACCGCCATCCACGCTCCTAATCACACCTGGGAGCAATTTATAGTGCTCCATTAACCTGCCATGCACGTTTGTGGAATGTGGGAGAAAACCAGAGTACCCGGAGAAAACCCACGCAGGCACGGAGAGAACATGCAAACTCCACAGTGAGGCCAGAGCTGAAATTGAATCCGGTACCTCTGCACTGTGAGGTTGATGCGCTAACCACTGGCCCACCGTGCCGCCCCTCATTCTTATTTGTCAACTGAAAAAATGCTCATGTACCTACAGAGCATCTATCTGTATTGGAGACAGTGTTGCAAAACATGAATCATGCTGCAGCTGTCTAGCGAAGCATGATTACGCTTCAAATGGAGCTTTTAGGTGAGGGTGAACTCTTAAAAATTTACAGTCAACATTCAAATCAATGTTGTTACAGCAAGTGAGGCTCACATAGGTTCCACACAAGGATTCCACCTAATGCCAGGAATATTCCAAAAAGACTATATATATATATATATATATATATATAGGAGATTGGTCTTATTAGAACGTGACGATGATATATACTGGTATATATATATACTGGATATACTGTATATATAAAATTAGTTTGTAAAAGGTGTTTGTCTTTTAAATCCCAACCAAATCAATGAGGCTTTCTCATAAAAAACAAAGGGTAAATATCATGGCACTGTGAGCCATAAATTCACTTATTTCAAAGTGGTGGTGGTGGAAGGGGGACAGGAAGCTTGGTCCGGAGTGGCCACGGCTGGGAGTCATCGCATCTTATTGGCGCCCTGACAAGAAAATGTCACATAATGCCGCTGACTATTTCAACTGCTTATACATTAAAAAAAACTTAAAAAGACATTGACACATACAATGTTAACTACTCTTGCTACTGTTCACATTGACTTCTTCATATCGTGTACTACAGCCTCCAGAACACAGAACTAATTTTCCTTTGTAAACTTGAGTGAGGCTTCCCTCCAGTGGACAGTCTGAAAACATTTCATGAGGATTTTGGACTTGGCCTCGCACGTCTGCCTCACAGTGAAGTGGTTCAGGCTTTTATATCTTGGTGGTGGGGAGTTGTGCAAGCATGTTCTCCCCATGCTTGCGTGGGCTTTCTGCAGATACTCCAGCTTCCTCCCACAACTTCATCAAAGACTCTGAATTGTCAAAAAGGTGTGAATGTGCAACTCACGAATGACCCTAATGAGGTCAAGAGCTAGAGGTGGTTGTCAAATGCATGATGGCCCATGGGGCTAGAGAACACGTTAAGTGCTATTTTTCCAATCATAGAAACAGTCGTTGCTAATTTTGTCCAATTGATGTCGCTCCGACTCTGACATTCCAAAATTGTCTATTAAGCATTATTTGATACTGTGTTGATACACTTGCCTTAGCTCAAAGATGCCTGTCACTGTTCGAAACAAACCAAAAACTGTTTTAGGATCCCAGAATGGTAGACACCAAACAAAATTCCGTAATAAAAAAATATTTATTCACACGAAAACGCACCGACAAAGTAGAAACAGAAATCACTGGTGAAATAATGACCAGGGAAATAAAAACAACACTATAACCAAAAGTGCTTGCAAAAGGCAAGGAAGAAAATAACCCGAGACTAAAACGAAATACCAAGAACCCACTTCACGTGAAGCAAGAACAAAAACGAAACTAAGACTGTACTTACAAAAACATCGAACCCAGAGAACCAGAACAAACACGACAATAGCGAGAGGTCTAGAACAATGATCACTTGCGCAACAGCAGTAGCAAGGTCAACAATACTCCGACAAACTGCTGAAAGTTTGTTGGTCCTTAAAATACATGGCTCCCTAATGACAAAATTGGCAGCAGGTGTGCACACAGCAGGAAGGGCTCCGGTCTGCCACCTGCTGGTGAAAGCAAGAACAGGAACATGACAATGCCATGTTTCAGTAGCAAAGGAAGCCCACTTCATAGAAAATGCTTTGCCACCTTTGCAATATGAACTGTACTGTATATATAAGCTTATCAGGCCTCAAATATACTAGCCTGGCCTCGGGCCCATTTGAGATTGAGTAGATGTGGCCCCTGAACTACAATGACTTTCGTTACCCTCCTATAGACAATTTATGGCTGGATAATGAGTAGATGTCTATATGTGCCTTGGGATTGACTTGCCACCACCGCAGGCTGTGATCACTCTAACTTACCTCAACTGTCTGTTGGGGGCACACATGATGACCGGCGAGATCGGCACATGGTTTTCTGTGAGAAAGAGAGTCTTTGATGTTATCAGGTAAACAGCGCTGTTTTCCCCAATTTAGTTCTTTCAGGTTGTGTTTCATTGCAAATAATATTACTGCTGACACTACCTTGGTATGAAGTTTATGATGAAGGCCCGCGTCAGACAGCCAGGGATGTCTCAGGGCCTCGGACGCTCCCATCCTCCAACTGTAAAATGATTAACATGTCAGTCACGGTTTAGGAGGCAAAATGACATCACGCTGAAGGTAAGTCTACCTTTTATTGATGACAAGTAGCCGGCTGATGAAGTCTTTGGCCTCTTCGGACGTGTCCACAAACTCTTGCTCTTCAAAGTTGCACTGGCAGGCCAAGATGTTGTTGAGCGTCTCGTTGTCGTCATCGCCCAGGAAAGGACAGAGGCCGCTCAGACTAAGCAAGAGGGGGCAAAGACAGCCATGCATGTTTATTTTTATTAATGCATATTGTTTACATGTCAGCCCGGGTTTGGTTCCCAGCTGACATGGGGCCAGAGGCGGCATCCACACTGGACTGGCTGGGAGTGAATTGCAGGGCACATACAGACAAAATAAAAAACAATTAAACATTTCAACTCTCATATAGTCTTGAATGAACCAAACATGATTTTGGCACGTGGGAGGAAGCTGGAATACCTGGAAAAAACATGGGGAGCAAGCGTGGGGAGAACGTGCAAACTCCACTCAGGGCCTGAGCAGAGGAACCTTTTGACTGTAAGGCTGAGGCAGAAGTGTTCACCACAGTTTCACAGTGCTCCCAAAAATGGTTATAAAAAAATTTGATCATGATGTAATGTCTTTTTAAATGCAAAAAAATCTGATTGAATTTAAACTAAATTAATTTTAGCTTAACTTGCAGATCCGATCAAGATTTGTCTGTCTTTATCAGAGGACATATTTATTGCAGGCAGAATTTGTGGAGCAAACTAATTTGTGCCCTCAAGCGCCCCCCCCCCCTTTTTTTTTAATTAATTGAAATTAAAGAGAAATAGGGTGGTATCGCAACATGTAATGTATACTCACAGCATGTATGTGATGACACCAAGGCTCCACATGTCTGTGTTAAATGACACAAAGTCATAGTTGATCACTTCAGGGGCCAGAAACTCTGGAGTCCCGAAATTGACTCGCAGCTTCTCCCTCGGTTTGTATCTATTTGAGAAAAGAACCGCACGAGTGACGTCAACAAAAATGTCCAGATTACAAAAGCAAAAGCGAACACTTACATCCTAGCGAGACCAAAGTCGATGATCTTGATTTTATTCGTGACCCTGCTTACGCATAGGATGTTTTCTGGCTGCAATGAAAGAAAAATCCACCTTCATGTATACTTAATGCATCAAATAAGAAATAACTTTGTGTGCATTCAAGTTACCTTTAAGTCCAAATGGATGATGTACATTTTGTGCATATGCTGCAGGCCCTCACAGATCTGCCTGATGAACACCACAGCATCCAGCTCCATTAACGTGTAGTTTTCATCAATTATCCTGTCAAACAGCTCGCCTCCACCCACGCTGGCAAAAGGATGGTAAAAAACAATAAATCAGTCAATCCATCAGAAAAAAAAATCTGTAAGGTCTATTAACTCATTCAGTACCAGACAATTCTGAAAAGACGTTTAAAAACGTCTTTGGCAGTGAATGAGTTAAAGAAACATACATGCCATACCACAAAATGCAAACCACTCATCGATAGAAAAAAAATCAGAAGGCCAGATTGGATTTTCCAAAATAGTGCAGTGATGAGGCACAAAATCTTTGAAACAAAGTTTTATGGACTGATGTTACCAAAGTGATGGAAAGCCCAAGATATGACAAAACAAAGGATGCTCCTATGATCACTACAACCAAGCTCATCTGTGAAGCACGGTGGAGGTAACGTCATGCCTTGGGCTTGGCTGCTTCTGGAATGCGCTCACTACAAAACTTTTCGTCTGGCAATTTACAGAAAAATGCGTCCAAATTAATCAGGAGAAGAATCATCATGCAACAAGACAATGACCCAAAACACATTGTCAACACAACAAAGGACTTCATCATCAGTGGAGAAATGCAAAGGCTTAGATTGGCCATGTCAATCACTAGACCTCAACCCAATAAAGCATACATTTTACATCCTGAAGAGAGAAACCCCCGGAAACAAACAAGAACTGAGAGAGGCCTCTGTATAGGCCTTGGAAGAGCATTTCACATTACAACAGTCAAATGCTCGCAGGCTTGATGCAGTTATTGTAAGTCAGGGTTATGCCACCAAATGTTCAATATTATTCACTTCAAGTTCATGTCATCATGTTCATTCCAATACTTTGGCACACAAACTTTTGTCTCATATTCATCTTTCGATCTGAAACCCAATTCATTTCAGTATACAACAAAAACAAAATGATTGACCTGGCCGTTGCAATACTTTTAGAAGGCAGTGCATTTGGTAGCAGAATTCATCTGATCCTTATGCATATGCAATGTCCCACTTGAGTTACAAAAAAAATGGTTCCCAGAAGGTTCAGGAGATCAACTCTTGAACACCAAAGGATTAAAGGTAATCCCCATTAGCGTCAGCGGAGAATGTGGAAAGGATAGAACCTACTATTCGAGCACGAGGATGATGTCATTCCTGGACTCATATGCCGCGTATAGCTGGATCAGGTTGGCGTGGTCCAGATTGTTCATAACCTGGATCTCGTTTTTCACCAGCTCCTGGTAAGAAATCAACACAGGAGTCAGAAGACAAGTCGAGAAGGAAGCAGGACAACGACAATCTGTTCTCATCTATGGTGATGCCACACAATGCATCATCATCATCATCATAAGCAGCAGCAGCCGCAGCGTCATCACTTCGAGGTCAAGTATTTCGCCCCTCGACGGTTAAGATCCCTTCACTGTCTCCTGTTCTACGAGCGCGTGCTAAAGACCGTAAATGAGCCTTTGGCTTTTTATATCGCATGATCGAGTAGCCTTCTGGGTATCAAGCAAGAGCAGTCCATCGTGATAGTGATGCGCATGAGCGGGGCTGTACCTTTTCTTTCTGGGACTTGGCCTTGATGACTTTGGCTGCTAACGTCAGACCAGATGAGTTTTCAACACATTTGTGCACTTGACCAAAACGGCCCCTTAGGAGAAAGACAAGATAGGGAGACAAATTACACTGGAAGTCGAGGCGCTAACCGCCATGTTGTTCTCACCGAGCAACCACTTGTTGATGGCTTTCCCCGCGTGTTAATGAAAAGAATTGATGATCTCGGCGCAAACAAACAAGCCTAATCTGTTATTTCATTACAGCGGAGCTCGCTGGTCCCTCCGCTTTGAAGATGTGGATTCACACTTAGTGATTAGCAAGCAGCTGGCACCAGAGATACAGTTTCACATACCGCTCAGTCCGGCAATAAAAATAGACGGCAAGACTCTAGAGTCATGAAGCGGAAAAGGTGAGGAGGGGGACGGGGGAGTGGGGGCAGGTTATACAAGGCTTCATCGTGGGGAGGGAAAGTATGAACCCTTTCACCGAAACATAAACATGCCATCATCATTCTTTTTGTTTGAAATTCATACTGGATTTGAAGAGCATCTCTCACCCGCCCAAGACCTCCTGCCAATTGATGGTGTAGAAGTTGCTGATCTGGTTGGGCTTGGCCGACACGATGCGGTGATTAAACGGCGCTGCCGGCGGAGGAGTGCTGTCTAAAGTGGAGCGAAGACATAATCCGTGTTAACAACATTTCCTTGTCATTGACTGCCATTGTCGAGCAGCTACAATATATCTCTATTTTTTGCAGTCTTTTGTCATTTGCTATCGTCTTAATTTCCTGCTAGGTCACTTCAGTCGACCGAGTCCGTTTTTATTAATGTTTGTCACAGGAACTTCAACACTTAAGGTGATGGAGCCTTGTAAGCTATTGCCCCAAAAATGTGGAATGTGTTTCCTCGTGAACAAAAAGCTCCCTCTTCAGTTTTATTGTTTTAGTTTTGGGGCAGGGGGGGGGGTCATTAATATTTGGTCCCTCCCCAGGTCAGGGAAGAGATTGTGCCAAATGGAGAAGTTCAAGGAACTTGGGGTCTTGTTCATGAATGAGGGAAATATGGAGTGGTAAATGGATAGGCCAATTGCTACCCATTCCATTAAAAACATGTAGAATCAATGCCTGACTTGTGAAAATACAACATATGGGCAAAGATATGGGGACACCTGGCCATTAGACAAACATGAAGAGAAAGTTAAAGTAAATATTTGCAGCCATCGTAACTGTGTTTGCCCACACCTCTCATCCAAGCATGTCTTGGTGGATCACGTATAGCACCCACTTCCTCAAAACCATCAATTGTGATCTAAAATGTGCTGATTTACCAATAAAGTATTGCACTTCATCCCCGGGCTCCTTTTGTTCCTCGGGCTTGGCTTTGTTTTCTTTCTTCTCCCGCGCCAACCTCTCTTTCAGATCAAATTGGAACTCAACGCCGTCCGCCTGGAAGACGGCCCAGTCTTCCTGCTCCTCCTTGTCCTCGTCCTTCTCCACTTCTAGGACCTCAGTGTATTCCTCCACCACCACCAGTTCTTCAGTCTGAAAGGAGGCGGTGGCGGTAACGCTGACCTCCATTTGGGTGTCCAGGAAGGTGGCTTCACAATCGTCCCTGCTGCAACAATGTAAATGTGAGTGACTTACAGTCACTGAACTTATTTTACATGCTGCATGAAGTAAATGTACAGTAATGTTATATTACAATACTAGTACTATTGTAAAATATGATTATAAATGTATGAACTACTTTGTAGTTGTAAAATGAAACCGGGGTGTCAAACTCATTTTTGTCTTGGGCCACTTCGGAGTTTAGTCTTCCCTCGGAGGGCCGTTCTATGACGGTTGAAACGACAAACACTTTTAATCGTCTCATCGCATTATTTGTGCACAACAAATTATTGGGATTATTCATTTTGAAATCAGTTCACTATAATTGGTCAATTATTGTTCAAGTGAGTGTAAACAGGACAAAATTATTGGATAATATCACTTCTTATTTATTACACATGACAATTTGACAGTTCGGTGCACATTTTAAGAAGGATCATGCCAGTTGACACCCATGACTTGCTTTCGAGGGCCCCATAAAATGATGTGGCGGGCCGGATCTGGCCCCCCGGCGTTGAGTTTGACGCCTGTAAATTAAACCAATCATTTTTATTTTCAATTACTTTTGTGTGGTGTTATGTAGTTATTGCTTTCTTCAACGCACTTGAATTAAAGTCCTATAACAAATAGAGTCCGATTGGATTGGATTGGAGTGGATTGGATTGGATTGTGGAAATTGGCATAAAGCATTCACTACCTTGGATCTGTTGGATTGTCAGACTCGGACGTTTGTGATTCTTCTATTGTGAGTTCCTCCACCTCTTCTATCACTTCTTTCACCACTTCTTCCACCTCATCCTCCTTTAGTGCTTTCTCATCCTCTTCCTCTTGAACTACCTCAACCACCTCCTGCACTTCAACCACCTCCTCAGTAACATACACGTCTTCATCAGGATCATTTTCCTCATCCTCTCCAGCACCAAGCCCCGCCTCTTGATAGCTTCGGGAATCACTGCCTGTTGGGACGTCAGCTTCCAGATTCAAAAACACGGCGCTAAACTGCTGAGTTGACTTCTCTGCGTTCTCCCTGTTGAGTTTCTGCACCTCTTCTCGAAGCAGTGCCTGCTTCTTCAGTGAGACACCTACAGAAAAAAAAACAAACAAACAAAAAGAATAAGCATTTTCATTGAGCCATGTCTATAGGAACAGAGGAGTTTACAATAAACCTAATAGATTTATATTTTGGGGCTCATTTAGAGCATATGTAGAATTGATTTAGTATATAAGACCAACTCCTATCTACCTGCAGTGTCTGGGGGGTTCATCGTCTTTTGGGCTTTGGGGGTCAAACCGGGCCTCTCTGCGCCATCGTTACTGTGGTCGTTGAACTGTGAAAGTACAAGTCTTTAAAAATCATAGACTCTCCCAAATGGGCAGCTACACAGTAGAATGCATTTCATTTGAAGAAATACACAAAATTACTGTATTTTTCGCACTACAAGGCGCACCTAAAATTAAATTTTCTCAAAAGCTGACAGTGCACCCTATAATCGATGCGCCTAATATAAAGACACTAACTCTTTACGTTCACCATTGAGCTGTTGCTTGTTAATGTTCCTATGCCATCTAGTGGTGATTATTAGCAGGAACCAATTGGAACCTAAAAGGGTTTTCTGCCTGACACTAATTGACATGTTCAGTCCCAACACACATTTAAACAGACAACTACTTTATTAGCGCTGCGCAGTCATTATGAAACAAAAATAATACTAAAAGCATCGTTTAACTACTAACTAAACGAAGGAAGGAGGAGACAAGCAAGACTTCTAAGAATATTTTAGACCCTTGTGGATGTCAGCCCAGGAGGTTTGTGTGCCTTTTTGTTGAATCGTCTTCATAACTTTTGTCTTTCAATTATTTTTTTGTAATGCCATTTGTATTCATGTTCGTGTTTGTGATCCGTTCTAATGGCTTTGTGACAGCTGCAGCAGGTTGTGAAGGTTCTGTCTAACTAAAGCTGTAATGTATTGTATTGTATTCCTGTAGCGTAGCACCATCTAGTGGATGCATAGCGCAACCGCAGTCACTATTCTAGCCTCTATTCACCTTATAATGCAGTGCGCCCTATATATGAAAACAGTTTTAAAATAGGCCATTCATTGAAGGTGCGCCTTATAATCCAAAGCGCCTTATAGTGCGGAAAATACGGTACACTTATAAACGATCAGGTGCAAAAATTAAGGAGGCACAAAAGTGCAGATTCCGAAAAATACAGAGGCACGGCGCTTCTTGAACGTCAGTAGACCTACAAAAGTTCCATATTTGCGAGTGGCGAGGTAACGCTTTGGTCCGTGGAGCTTTGTCCTGTGAGATGACAGGAGAGTAGCGGGCTCGCAAACAGCAGTTATGTCTTCATTCCCTTTTTTGGCTTTGTTAGAGGTAGTTTTCTAGTAAAAAGACAAGATGGCAGCGCTTAGTAGGGTTACAACAATACACGAGCGCAAATACAGACAGATGAGTGGTATGTCATGTACACAGAAGGACAAATGAATTTAACTGAAAACAGAAATTGTTTAAAGTTTGGACTGTAATTCTGTTTTTGCAGATATGTAAACATGAACCTTAAGGGTTATGAGCAATATAGGAGATGGCGTCAAGGCAGTCTGATTGGAGGTTGATACGGGGTCCCCGGCTTACAAAGGATTTTAATTCCTGTGGCGATGACGTAAAGTTAATTTTTGCAAACAGTATGTCAGAAATGTGTGTGGAAATTACTTGTACATACCCAACCAAATGAAAAACATCACGATATAAATGCACCTCCGGGGTAAGCTATCGTGTCCCTGGCTAAAAGGGACGGCGGCAGGGGAGTACTCAACTTACTTCATGGGGCCCAGGAACCTTTGGGCTGATGCCAGCACCTCGTAACATGTCTGACTGGAACATTTTAGTTTCATGAACTACAAGTGTCAAGAACAAAACGTTCCTGAAAAGAACACCAAGTTCCTGAAACGTTAAGCTGACTACTCAGTGTCCACTCTTCTAGTAATGCCGTTACATTACTGGATTTGTATTTTTCTGGGCTTTGACTTAAGTCATTCTGGTGGAATAATGAAAAGTCCCATTGCATGTCTGGGTTTTCCACAAGTACTATTCCTCCCACATTCCCAGAGGTGTCAAATCCACATCCGGAAAATCAAAACCCTGTCACAGTTCGGCTTTTGGTGCTTGGTGCCGCAGGCAGGTGGAGTCGAAGCACCTGTGTCTGAATCAGAACTGTGGCCGAGTTTTTACTTTCTGGATCTGGGTTTGACACCTCTGCGTCTTCCAGAAACTTGCATTTAGAATGACTGAAGATTCTAAATTGTCCACAAATGGGAACGTGACTGGTGAACAGTCCAAGGTGATGTGTCAATGTTGGAAATTATTTTTGACACACAAAATCACTAATGTGAATGCTCGACTCCCTCACTAGTCAATGACAACAAGTAGATGTGATGACATTAGAGACACAATCATGGAAACACATGGATCATTACGGTAGCACAAAAATAAGCAACAATTTCCTTTGTTTTTCAGGTTCCACTCATGCGTGCGCTGTTCGGTATGACAGCATGCCTTTGACTATTCATGGCAGTTGGATTGACGGCAGCGGGCCAGCGAATTTATAGCTTATCGCTTGTTGCACTCAGCCGTAGAATGCAAAGCGTTGGGAGTCTCACCCTGAGTGGAAAATATTACAAGTGACGGTCGGCCCCGGTCCAAATGCCGCAGCTGAGGAAACTCACTAAACGCTGAGCGGTCAGGTTAGCATGGAAAAAAAACCTGTCTTGAACCCACCGGAGGGGTCTCACATTTGCTACCGTGAGGTAAACACAGCGCACGGGATATTTCCGGTGCCGTGTTTCCCCCGGTGACAGCGACACTTGCTGCAGATCAAATCACGGACTGGGAGATGCAAGAGTAACAGAAATTACTTGACAGAAATTTAGGAATGTCGCACCTGTGGTGGGAAACAAGGACAGAGTTGAAGGGACAACAGAAATTCCCTGAAACGTGAGTCACACACCACACGGTAGCAATGCACTTGGCAGACCAAATCCATTGCTTGTCACCTTGGATACATGACGTGCCTTCAAGATGTTGATATCGTCTACATTCTTCATTCCGCTGTGTTGCACTGTGACATAATAATATTCTCATGGAGGTGACAACCTTACTGCTAATCTTTGTTTTTGGTTACATAAAGTCATGATAGGTGCATACTGATAACATATTTGAGGGCGCCAGTTTCTCTTGATGCCAAAAAAAGAAAACACTTCAAGATGTGTTAGTGACTATGATAGCATTTTTTAGGAGATCCGCCACGGACAGTGATGATTGTTTTGTTGGCAAAAATAATCTATTCTGTGGAGAGGTGGGGCATGAGCCAGGGAACATTTCTTGCAGATGAAGAATTTTTCACTTTTATGAACATCATAACAATTCTTGGAATAGCTTGCAAATCGCAATGGATATAATCAAAAACATTAAAGCACAGCGGTAAAAGTGCATTCTTGTGCGACATGACCACAAAATCTACTTCTACAACCTTGTTCTATGCACACCACTGGAAACCTCATAACAGCATATGTCAGGATCATCGTCAATAAAACAAGAACCCCCTGGCTGGCATCGGGCGGGATCCCCATAGCTCCAAAATAGACACTTTTCAGGAGATCAAGACATCAAGCCATTTTCCATAATAGATTGTTGGATAATTTGGAACAATTAGACACACTCATGTGGACAGACCAATTGTGTAGATTTGTGAAAAAATATTACATTTAACAAATTGTGAGGAGATTCTGGCTTGACACCAGCGACCTGTATCTACTTGTATCCAAAACCAGATGATTCTATTGTATGCAGCCGCTTGACAAAATCAAAGTGAGCACCTTCAACACACCATTTTGTTTAATTTGTGCCGATGATGAAACAGCGGTATGCAATGTAATTTGGCACTCGTATCAAATGTCTCTGATGTGGAACTTTCAAGGAACAACAAAGACAACAAAAAGACGGTCAAAAGTGTGTCAAAGCAAGAACAAGAGCGTTTCAGTCTCATCACACTGCTGACACTGGACTCCCAATGTATCAAAGGGATTTGCATCCTTTCACACCACACACACTGCGGCTCAGATACAGAAAAACCAATTTTTAAAGAGGCCCGTCACATTTCACCCCTGATCTTGAAGTCACTTGTCGTGCCACACTTGGCACCTTGGCATCTCCTCTCACTCCAGTCAGGTCAAGCCCTGCTAAGAGTGTGCACATGCAAAAAAAAAAAAAAACACTGCAAATTTACCTCACAAGCTAGGCCACGTGTAAACTCAGAACATTGCTGCTATAATCCATTTCACATGATTTTTTAAGACGAGATGAGACTCTACCAAAATCAGCAGAAAGATGTTAGAAGTGATACCTGGACTACAATGGCAACCAACAAATGACGCTGCGTTATTTGGGTATTTCTCACCTTGTCTGACTTTTTTATTGTGTCTGATGATTTCCTCTTTGAGACTTGCTTTCCTTTGTTTCCCTTGTTGTCACCGGGACCTTTGAACATGAGCTCCATAACCCTGGAGCTCTTGATCGTCTCTCCGATGAAGCTGATCACCTGCTGCATGCTGAGGACCAGTTTCTCCATTCCCTCCAGCTTCTGAGCTTGAATCTCAGACCTGTGATTGACCGCCAACATGATGGTGCTCATTTCCTGGTATATGTCTTTGACGTCTCGTCCCTGCGACTGGGAGACTTCCCCACGTGAGATGTGGCTCTTGACATACTCCTTCTCTTCCTTTTCAATACCACTGGACTTGGCATCAAGCCGGACAAGGACTTTCTCTTGAAGGTTGATGAGCTTGTCCATCTTGCCACTCAAAGATTCGATTCGATTTTGGATGAGGTCAAAACTGCTGCTTTCGCCCACCCGCTTACCCAGACCGGTTGTCTTCATAAAGGAAGTCATGGCTCTTGCAGTGAAAAAAAAATCACGTCAAGACACCAACTCGAGACAATTGGGCAATCGGTAACGTCCGTGAAACAGACGGAAAGACGTCTGTAACGATTGGAGCCAGCGCTACCCTTCAGTGCTCCCGTCAGGTGTGCAAACTTGTCAATCAACACGCCGGAAAAAAAGGATTAAAGGGTTGGAAAGGATCTGTCACAAGCAATCTCGACTGCAAAAGATCAGTGAAGAACCTAAAAATAAACATGCAATAAACCATCCAGTGAAGCTGTAGTTCTCTCGTGCAATATTCCTGGTGCCTCCTGCTGCCCACACTATTGGGATTGCAGTGAGCCCGCGGACCTAAAAGTAAATGGATAGACTGCGTCAGCATGGGTCAAGTGTTTGGGGAGGGAGCTTGGCATTGCTCAGCCTATGAGACATTTGAGAGCCTAAGTGCTAAGCTCACCAGCATCACTCGCCTGCCTGGTGTCAAAAACTGTGCACACTACTTGGGTGGCACAGAAAGATGATCAGTCTTGTTTGCGAATGAAAGGGCAAAGACACCAAATTAAACTCACTTTTTGAGGAACTGAAGGGGTGCAAGTTATGTGACAGTTTGGTCACAATAGAAACCTATTGTATTTCCAATGTTGGCAAGATTGTGTTTTATTCATGTAATTATGATGAAAGTGAAATCAAATGTGATCAACTTTGCTCACCAGTTAGCATGTAAGTTAGCTCTTTAGTTATATGAACAACTGAGCTCACTAGTCAGCATGTTAGTATGTTGGTTTTTTAGTTATACAAGCAACTTCATTAGGTAGCCATTTGCTGATTTAATGTTTGCTGTTATGTTGGCAAATTAGCTAATTAGTATGTTAGCAATTTATCATCTCATATGTTAGCAAAACTTGTTAGGTAGTCATACTAGGAATTTAGCTAAAGTAGTTGGCAGGTTATCAACTTTATTAGTACAGTAATCCCTCGTTTATCGCGGTTAATGGGGACCAAAACCACCCGCGATAAACGAAAATCCGCGAAGTAGCCACCCCCCCTCCATATAGGTACATGTACATAATATTTATAAGGCCAAGTTTAATGGTATACATGCATGTAGAAGTAAATTTTGAAGTAACATGACTTAATGCTGTATACTAATAGATTTAAACATGTATAAGTTAGGTTAGTTTATGAATAACAAAATACAGTAAACATATACATGTAGTACTGTATATGTTGCTCTATGTGACTCGCTGTTGTTTTGCTGACTTTCGCTGTTTCTCGTGGACTTTTTGCGGACTTAAAAAAATAAAATAAATAAATAATCAATGTTTGAAAAAATCCGTGATGCACTGAAGCCGCGATCAACGAACCGCGAAATAGCGAGGGATCACTGTAATCATATTAGCACAAATATTTAGCCAGCAATCTTATTAAAAAGCTCGATGTTATCATTTAGTGTCATCATTAAGTTTTATCAAATTAGCAAGCACCTTAGCAAGTTAATTTGCTAGTTGCATATAACACCTACCTTGCCATCAAAGCAAGGTAGGTGTTATTTGCAAAGTAAAGCATACTACACAAATTAACCATGTACAGAGGTGTAACATAAGCAGAATTTGCCTCCAATTTAGTTTACCTGATTTTGTAGGTCAAGTAGGAAAAAAATAACGCAGATACTCAGAGGCTCATCTTGGGCTGAGCGCCACTATGGTAGCAGACACACATAATTGGGCTAATTAGTTGTTTTGTCTCACGCATGTCTCCACAGATGATACAAGTTAGTGTCATTCCTTAAGTTGGTGTCACTTGACTCAATAGTGTATATAATACTTTAGACACATTAAAAAAAAAGCCATGTTGTAGTCCAAACACTATCGGGGGAATGTGAAAATGGACCCGTGATTCCATCCATCTTTCAGGGACATACAGTAGAGTAAGATAACTGGTCTGCCTGCTGAAAAAAAGAGAAGGCTGACACGAATGATTTATCATGACCCAGCTCACTGACAAACACAGCCACTGACAACCACTAGGAAAGAGCTCATTTTAACTGCGCACTTGTAATAAGAACATAACCCACATTCCCTCTCAAACACAATGCATGCGGCTGGATCCAGACAGACTTGCCACTCATGGCAGAAACAAGATATTGACGTCATAAAGGAAACCCTTGTCAACAAACTGTAGACACCATAGTTGAAGTGATTCAAATAATCCATGAAGGAGCCTATCCCATCTGATTTCAGGCAAAAAGGCTGACTACACCCCAAACTTGTCACTAGTCAGTCACAGGGACCATACACAGTAGAAACATTTCAACCATTCATGCCCACATCGTCACTGAGTGGGAAACAACTCCACGCTGCCCGCACACAAGTCAGGCGAACGCTACACTATCAGCGACTGACTCAAATAATCGTAAATTCTAAATCCTGATGCAGTTTAGCGGCAATATGGCCCACTCCAGCCACCGCGATGACACTTGACAATGTCAGAGGCACGGACTGCAAACTGAGCCAGAGTGACCCCGGCCAAATTTGCCACACTGTAATGGTTCAAGCCAAGATCTGAGCTCATGGGTGCAGCGCGCCGTGACCGAGGTCTTGGCAGACTGAGCAGAGAAGCTCAAGTCACGATTAAAGTGTGACACTTGACTCTTATTAAATGAACGAGGAAGGAATACTCATTTTAAAACCTTTCATTTTTAAAACACCACATCCTTGATCCTCCATGGTGCAGGCTAGTTGCTTTTTGATTGTCACTGCCTGTCAGTACCCGAGTACGATGCCAGTGGCACGAACAAGCTCTGACGTGACGGAAACCAATTGGACAGAAAGCAGACATCCATCATGCCAGCAGGGAGAGTTATGTTGCCAACAGATGACGCACGTTGTACGTCGTTTGCGGCATGCCATGTAGCTTTCTTGTGGATGGAACGATCCAAAGTCCGCTACAAATATGGAATATTGATTCACCTCTGTGATCAACTCTACTTTCAAAATATTTGATACACGTGCATGATTACCCGATGCTTGTGTGTGGTGTTTTTATGTTTTTTTGCAATTACGGCAACTGTAAATTGTCTGCAGGTGTGAATGCAAGTACTGTATATTAATGCCTGTCTGTCTATATGTGTCCTGCCATTAGCTGGTGACCAGTCCAGGGTGTGCCCTCTTGCCCCAATGCTCCAGCTCACCCGTAATCCAAATAAGAATCGGCATTTTCGAAAATGAATAGATGCTGAGCACAGTTTAACTCTGTTGCTAGCCAAAGCAGCCTCCTCGCTGCCCATCTTTAAAACCCGCCTCAAAACTCACTTGTATTCTTTGGCATTTGACTCAGCATGACTCAGATTTGTTCTTGGTTTTGCTGTTCGGTGCTTTCTACCTTCTTTGTTACCAATTTGTTGCTTTACTGTTGTGTATGTTAGTTGCTCCATGTACAGCACTTTGTATGCAGCGATGGCTGTCTGAAAGTGCTCTATAAATACAGTTGAGTTGAGTTGCGAACCAATGCACATAAGAAGTCTTTGTGTGTGTGTGTGTATAGAGTGTTACTACTTGCTTAATACAAGTTATTTGAAAAGTAGTATGGATGAGTTCACGTTTTGGGAAGATGCTGTCTTTAACATTTCACACTTTAAATAGAATTTAACTCCGGTTTCCTTCCACATTCCAAAAAACATGCATGGCCGGCTGATTGAACACTCTAAATTGTCCCTGGGTGTGAGTGTGGGCGTGGATGGTTGTCCGTCTCTGTGTGCCCTGCGATTAGCTGGCAACCATTTCAGGGTGTCCCCCGCCTACTGCCCGGAGACGGCTGGGATACACTCCAGCACCCCCCGCGACCCTCGTGAGGATAAAGCGGTTCGGATAATGAATGAATGAATGTATATTGTACCAGATTATATTTAATTCCCGAATGTTTGTACAAATGTGGGGGAGGTCATGTTGCAACATATTGTTTTCATGACATTTTAATGTCATCCTTTCTCAAAATTGACATAAAATGTATGTGTGGTTGTTTTTTTTTATTATGATGCATTTTAGTTCAGAGTCCTACTAAAGTTGGTTGCATATGGCTTTTTTTCCATTAAAACTATACACAGTATATCACTATTTTTAGTGTACGGTGGACAACTTGTCAGCACATCTGCTCATCCGTGGGTTAATTGGAGATTCTAAACCAGGGGTGTCCAAGTCAGGTCCTTGAGATCACCTGTCCGGCCTGTGTTAGATGTCTCCCTCCTCTATAACACACCGGAGTCAAATGATCAACTCATCAGCAAGCTTTGCAAAATCCTGACAACAACCCTGAACATTTGAATCAGGTGTTTTGTTGGAGGGGGATTTCTAAAACAGGTTGGATAGGGGCCATGAGGACCTGAGTTGTGAGTCTAAACTGTCCATAACTGTGAATGTGAATATAGACGGATGTCAATTCGTGTCCTATAGGTGGACCCTGCATCTCAGCACTAAGATGGCTGAAATAGGCTCCAACACGCTGGTGACGCTTTTGAGGAAAAGCAGTTTAGAGAATAAATGAATATTTTTTCTTTCTTTTATTAAATTCTGTCTGCCCTTATAATGTATTATTTGTTTTATACCAATATCTATACATTTTATTTACTTGATCTAAGTGACACTTACGTACTCGATTTGAGAATTTTGACTGCGATTGTTTGGCAACTTCATCATTTTCAGATCTCTGTTGACGTCAGCCTTGACTGTGAAGTGCTTTGCCATGTACCTACACGCTTGAAATACTGTTTTCCGGTTATCTTACTGATTGATTGCATTTGCTGTTCAGTTGCAACATGCATGGAAATCTCCTTTTTTGGTAATAAGTGAGTGACCTGGCTAACCCCCTGGTATCATTTGGCAAGTGGTCAATGTGATCAGTTAAAAATGGAGCGTGGCCTCCTCGTCAAAGAACAAAATGTCCCGAGAGGCGTCGGGCCACTGAGCTGCGTGGCTACTGTCCAATCAGCCTCGCTGTGGTCGCTCTCCCTGCCAGCCCTGGCTCTACTTTACTTCGGAAACTTGTGCACTTAAATGTGTACGCGGCAGCCGTGAAACCTAATTCCCCATGCTAATGTCTCCCCAGTTTTCTTTTGCTGTCATGCTGTGTGTTCTCTCCGCATGCACACACATTTTGCATTTCCAAACAGCGATATTGATTGGTTGGATATGTTCCCAAATGTGCTTCAAAGCCTTTTGGAATGATGTATTTATTACGATACCAAATGCCAGAAACCCTGACTGACCAAAACACAGTGGCGCAAACAACAGAGGTCAGAGACTTTTCTGGAGGCAGTCCACTGAATTCAATGGTTTTTTTTTCTTTCTTTTTACCATATATTTGAGTTTTGCTCTTTTAAAATGTTATTATGGTTAAATAATAAGCTAACAGTTAGCCTACCTCCTTCGAGGTCTTCTACTACAGCAGAGGTCCCCAACCCCCGGGCCGCGGACCGGTACCGGTCCGTGGGTCATTTGGTACCGGGCCGCACAGAAAGAATACATAACTTACATGACTTCAGTTTTATTTATTTCGGAATCTGAAAGATGTTTTATTTGAAAAATTACCGGATCCTCTGTTATATCCATCTACAATACGTCACAGGTGAAGGTGCGCTTTTCAGTCACGTGATAGGTTACCGCTAAAATGAAACCCAGGAGCTAGCAAAATGAGTAAAAAACAAAGGTCTTTGGAAAGTTTCTTTGGGAAGGGGGAAAGGCCCAGCCAGGAGTCAGAGGAGGAGCCTACGACTTTCAAGAAAAAGAAGGCTACATTTAATAGACAGTGTCGGCAGTCCTACTTAAAATACAGATTGATCACAACGGGAGATTCCCACGCATCAAGCCCAGTCTGCATAATATGCGGC